ATTTTAAAAATTCTTTCCTTTTCCTCATGACACTGGTGAGGCCCCGCCTCCCCCGCCTCCCCTGACTGCATGTCCCTGTTCTAAACGGCACTGTAGATTTTGGAACCTCTTCTATAGAAGAGGTTAGAACTGGCAGGAACCCACCCCTGGCCAGGGGAGGCCATTTTCACCCTCTCCGGGCTTCAGGAAAGCTTTCAGAGCCTGGGGAGGGAGAAAAACGGACCTAACGGACCTAGTGGAAGTTCAGAAACTATCTGTTTCCAGCTTCCAGAGGGCCTCTGGGTAGCCAGGGGAGGCTGTTTTCGCTTTCCCCAGGCTCCAGAGGCTTTCCTGGAGCACGGGGAGGATGAGAACAGCTTCCACTGCCCCCTTCAAGAGGAAATACCAAGCTCATCTTGGAGGCGAGCAGTGCGCTGCACGTGGGGGGGAAGCGTGGTATGTGTGTGCACGTATGTGCATGTGGGATCCGCTTTGCATTATGGGTGCTGGCATGCACGCTCACATTTTTGGCACCTAACAACAAAAAGTTTACCATCACTGTGTTAGGCTATTAGGAAGGAGAGGGTATCTGTGTTTTGGAGACATGATGGTTTCGTGTTACTGCCAGTATTTATTTGATAGGCTGACTATGGTTGAAGGGGAAAAAAAGCAAAGAAGATGCTATTGTACTCTTCCCAGAAACATAGCAAGCACGTTGAATAAGAAGATGCAAGATTAGACTGATCAGAGCACAATTTCTCCCTTTCCTTGTTCTTCCCCTAGGATGGCCCAGGAGAGTGGCTAACTCTTGATTCTCACGTCATCATGACAGATAATGAGATCTCTGGGACCAAAGACCCCACTTTCCACCGTATCCTCTTGGACACCCGCTTTGAACTCCCACTCGGTAGGTTATGTTGCAAGAATGGGGGTCTTTGGTGTGTGAGAATGCATTTTTTTCCCACCATACAAAGAATAAGATTTTTTTAAATTAATATAAATTTTTATTTTTATTAAACAGACAACACATACACACAATAAAAAAAAAANTTGCTATTGCTATTGCTATTGCTATTGCGCAGCTAAAAGGTGGCAAGCACAATATTCATTCCCATAACATGACAGACAATATTGCTAAGCAGGGGTCTAGTGCTCTTTTGAAGAAGTGCTAAATAGCCCAGCTGCTCAAGCACAGAATAGCGTAACTTCTGCAGGGGTGAAAGAAGGGTGGAGCAAGAGAGAATTACTGCCAGTGAGTATCTTCTGAGTTTTGTTCTCTCCCAATGATGACTACTGTGAGGAAATGGCAAGCTTGGCACTGAGTAGCTATGGCTGGCAGCACCCAATTGCAGACAGCCAATTGGGTGAAGGAAAACTGGCACACACAAACCCCGAATAATAAAAATAATGGGGGGAGGGGGGAAATACAGCCTTGAGAATACCTTTGTTGAGAAGGCGATGACAACTACTCATTGGTGACAGAACCAGCAACACATAGCTAATTTGAATTCTATGCAGCACAGCAGTGGTGAGTTGCAGGCGGTATGCCCTGGTACGGGCATACCGTAGCCTGCCCGGAGCACCAGATACCGTTCCGGTACGGTGATCCAGGGGGCCGGTTGGAACGGGATCCGGAACCCACCACTGCAGTACAGACTAGTGAGGTGAGCAAAAACTAAGTAGGGAAGTATGTCTTTCAGTACTGCATTTTTATTTGTAGAATTGTGCTAAAGAGCTACACAATTATACGATTTAGAAAACAAATAACTATGAAAAAAATTGGAATAACACCTGGGTCATGCAGAGGAGTTACATGAAAGAAGACAAGGACTGAAAAGGAGAAAGATAGATGCCTCTAATTGGGATTATTGTTTGAACAAAACATATACCAAATTTGGATTAAATATAGTCACAAAGCTGTCAAAATCATTATTAAATATTGATTCCATGCCCAGGTATCTCGGTAGCAATCCCTGAAGAACATGAGTGAGGAAGTGCTCTTGTTTGTTGTTATGATCCCTGCCTTGTTGTCTTCACATTAAACATCAAGTTGGCCATTCCAGGAAGTATGTTTTAAAGTGCTGTGATTTAAAGGGAAAAGGGGAGAGTAACAGAGAGGAGGTACTCAGAATCCATAAGCATTTTAAAAAACAGATGTTGCATGGGGACAATGTAATCTTCTGATAAATTGTGCTAGCCCAGAATTTTCCATGTACTTTCCTCCAATGCTGCTAATTGTGACACCCATTTATATTCTCTATGTTTTGCTTTCTCCCTGGTAGAAAAATTCAACACATACGTGACCCTCAAAGTTCAGAATGTAAAGAGCACGACTATTGCAGTGCGAGGGAACCTTCCCTGCTGGGAACAAGATTTCATGTTGTAAGTTGGGATGGGAAATGTTTTCACCTTCCTAAATCTTGGTGGTGGATAAAGCCTGACAGTGATGTGAAATTGCTGTGTAGGCCAGTAATGCATGCCATTTACAGGACTGGTTTGGAGACTCGTAGTGTCCAATACAACTGTGTGCAGTTGTATTGGATGCTTGCACATTTAAAATATATAGTGAAATGAATCTAGGATTAAATCCACTTTAATTTGGGCTAATCGGATCTGGTACTAGAAATGTTGTATTGGTGGGCCTGGTGTTAAATGAATTGAAAATGGAACCAAGGTGTGCCAAAGGACACTATTTACCTAATCAAATTATTTTTAAAAAATCAGCCACATTGGGGCAAAGCTTTTGAAGATAAATGATAACAACAATAACAATAACAACAACAACAACAACAACAACAACAACAACAATAATAATTTTTCACAAACTGACTACCTACAATGCCATGACTGCATTGCTAAGATTA